AAAATTATTTGCAAGTAAACGTGACTTGTTTATGAACTAGAACACAATCGCCATTTGTAAAAAAATGATTTTTCGAAATTAATAATCTTAGATGAGATACTTATGTATGTATTTATGAATATGAAATAATCAATATATTACATCTAATGTCATGTGTTGCACTGTCCTACAACTAGTAAAAATAGGAGAAGTTTTGATTTGTTTGCTTAAACGAAGGTTTCATATATCCTACTTACTACTTTGGCTCTTGGGTAAGTGAAAGTGTACAAGCAACCTTCCGTCCTGTACCCTTGGAGACATAATCTACGATTTATCTCCCTCGCGATACTCCAGAACAAAGGTGGTGAGGGACCCTTAAGATTAGAATTTAACCTTTTCTACTTACTACTTTAAAAGACTCTATCATATCCTACCATTCATTATTGAGTTAAAGTGGGCAGCACTTTTCATTATCCAGTTTACTACTATTCATTTAAATATCTATAGTATAAAGACTACTTTTTCTCTCTCTCACTCCATACGGCCGCTGAGTTAACTCTTCTCATTTCAAATTAACTCATTTCTCTCCCTCCAAAACCAAACGAAGCCCTGCTTTTAGATCAACTCCTCTTTCCACAACCAAATGAAATCAAACCCTAAGAGAAAGAAGAAAAAGGTAATAATCTCCTACGCGTGTCTTCAATCGTACGTACACTTCATACCCCGTGCTCGATTTTGTGTTTCAAATTCTTTGAATTAATTTTTCGAATAGGTAAAAGTTCCTGACTTTTTTTAATCTTTTGTTCATTTCTTCTTTTTTGGTGTTCAATTTATACTCGGGCTATCAATTGGTAATTTTGTTTATTTGCTGGAAATTTTTTGAAGTGAATTTTGGTTCAGTTTTTGTTTTCTTGGTTTATTTTTGCTATAAATTCGAGTGGTCTTCCATTTTGTTTTTAAAAATCTTTGATTAATTTATTTTGAGTTTGAACTTTTATTTTGGTGTTTGTGTGGAAATTGCTTAAAAGAGGCAGTGGACTTTATTTAGTTTTGAAGTGGGTTAATTTTGAAGTTGGGGAGTTTGAATGTTGTGTAGTTTTTGACCTACTATGCATATTTTTTTAATTTTTTTTTAAATGTGCAGATCTTCATATCGAATGTACAATTGGAGCTATGATGTCCTGAAATTTTGAATCACTATACAAATTATTTGGCAATACAGTTATTTTTGAGTAATTTACGATTTAATTATAATTTTTTGAGAGTTTTTGTTTTCTATCTATAACTGAAAAATGGACTGTCTTGGTTTTCCACGATTTGTTTCTGTATTTCTTTTTTGGTGGATATTATTATTATTTTTTTGCTCATGCCAGATTGCTTAAATTCTTTTTACCATTAAACAGATATGTTCTAATGGGTTATTAAATATCTATTTCCTTTTCAGTTGTGATTGTAAGAAATTATTGGTCCTCAATGTAAATTTGTTTGGCGTCCTCTTCGTTTTCACTTTTGGATAGTTTTTTTATATTCAATGTGGTCCAATAAATTTTTGACGAGAAATTAACGATTCTTGTTATATGATTATTGGTAAATTTAGTTTAACATCTTAGTGTCCTATGGTTTGTGTTTGTTAAACTTGTTAATTTTTTACATTTTGATTTTTTCTAACTTTTTATTTGTTGTTAATTAGCTGTAATGAGGCCAACAAAAGCATAAATAAGCGACATTCTTCTATCAATGAAGTATATCCTCGAAAAGGTGGAGAGAATGCTAAACGAAACAATAGTAGGGTGAGTTTTTATGGTTATTACTTCTCCCACCAAAGCACAGGCCTGCTTCTCGGCTTCAATGGACTATATTGAAAAAAAAAATAAAAAAAATCTCCTGCTTTAGTCTTGTATGGACACACATCTGAGATTTTCTTGAATTTTATTATATAATCATGATGACGCCTCTTGATATTAAGTGCCTTTCAAACTCTTCATTTAAAAATTACACACGAATTGAAGTATTTAAGAATGTTATGCAAAACATGAGCAAGAAATTTGAAACTTTTATCGCCCCTTCTCTAAAAAGAAATGGTCAGCCATTCAATTTTTCAGACTTGAAACTCATTTCACATGAGTTTTTTCTTCATCATCTTGCATATTTTTGCATTTGTATGCTCCCAGATTATTATACATATGTTTTCATTCATGTTTAGAAAATCTTAAGCCGTTTGGATGTCTCGAAGATTAAATATTCATTCCATGAATTATATTTATTTAACAATTAATTGATTTATCTAAGTTTAATTCATGCATGATTCTTTACATAGGAAATGAAAAGTTGGGTTTAAGAAATATTTTCTAATGTAGAGGTTTCTTCCCAAGATTTTTTTATTTTTTTTATTTAAAGAAAATTCCTAATTTTTGGCAGAGTTTTAGTTTAGTTTTCAATTTATTTGATTGAGATGAAGAAAGTGAAATTCTGAAGGGGAAATGAAATGTTGGGATTTAAGAAGGTTAGGTGTTTTGATGAGATTGATGAAAATTACCGGAGTTTTGAGACAATGGGTGGTGGAAAAGAGTGTGATATCCCTATACCTTAAAAGACACTTACCAATAGTTACTGTTCATGGTTGAGTTCCACGTTTTCACACTTAACCTTTTGGAACTGGCTTGGCAATTTCGATGGGCCGGTAGTTACTGTTGATGAGCCCAAAAGGTTTTTGTATCAGTCATTCAATTTTTCAGACTTGAAACTCATTTCACACGACTTTTTTCTTCATCATCTTGCATATTTTTGCATCCATGTGCTCCCAGATTATTATACATATGTTTTCATTCATGTTTAGAAGATCTTAAGCCGTTTGGATCACTCGAAGATTAAATATTCATTTTATGAATTATATTTATATAACGATTAATTGATTTATCTAAGTTTAATTCATGCATAATTCTTTATGTAGGAAATGAAAAGTTGGGTTTAGGAAATATTTTCTAATGTAGATGTTTCTTCCCAGGATTTTTTTTTATTTAAAGAAAATTCCTAATTTTTGTTAGAGTTTTAGTTTAGTTCTCAATTTATTTGATTGAGATGAAGAAAGTAAGTGAAATTATGAAGGGGAAATGAAATGTTGGGATTGATGAAAATTACCGGAGTTTTGAGACAATGGGTGGTGAAAAAGAGTGTGATATTAAAAATGGAGAAGTAGGTGTTGGAGCAATGAATCAAAATGATTTCTTTGTTGGGAATGAGGTTTTTCATAGTTTTGTAGTGGATTCATGTCTTCTTCATGTGAACGATCAGAACGAATGAGACTTTCATTTTAATGATGGGAAAGAGGAAAGTAGATTGGATTTTGATAATAATGTGCCCAGTGTGCCGAACTTTGACATGAAAGATGGTGGAATGGAAAGAATCTATCAAGGATATACACAACAACAACCTGTGAACATTGAGAGGAGAGTGGAAATTATTGACATTACGTCAATGAGAGGATGATGATGTGGAAATAATAGCTTATAAAAAAGATGATATCGGAAAGGGTAAGCAAACTGAGGTTGGGATGTTACGTGATAGTACAGAAAATTTGAACGTTGCTGTGGCATACTCTTCTCATTATGTAGGATTAGGTGTATCTGTTCAATATGCGTGGTAGATGCATTTTGAAAGTACTTGAGGTTGTTTTGTAGTATGATTTTGGAGCAAATGTATACACATTTTCTGTTTGTTATATAGATGTTGAGACAACATTATTTTTTATAGCCTAATTATGGTAAATCGAAATAAACTAGAATGCACTATATTACACCATCTAGAATCATAAAAGTAAAGACTTAACCCCTTGTACCATGGAAATGTAACGCTTAAAAACAGTTCAATTAGCATGCTATATACCAATTGTATTTCGCACATGAATTCCATGTATGTGAAATATTTCCTACTTTCGTATGATAATTATTGAGAGGGGGTGGTATTGTCTGGTTATTTTGAAGTATGAGTGCTAACAGGTAATGCCTTCTTTTTCGAGAGATGCATAGACTATAACTTGCATGTGTGGTTAAATCAAGTGAGGTCTGGTGCTGGTTGTGATTATTTAATTTGCATCCAAACTAATGGTAGGATGACAAAAAAATACGCTCGATAAAATTAAAAAGGTTAGGTTGAAGAAAATGAAAGCTAGGAGTTAGGGATCATTTCTGTTAAGTTTCTTTCTATTTCCAATCACTAGCCCTTAATTTGTATATAGTGCCTTAACATTATTATTTATACACACACACAAGAAAAAAGAAGAAGAGGATTTATCCATAATGACTCTTTTCAATATTCATACAATTAAAATTCAACAAAAAAAGAGAAAATACCGAATTACAATTGCTTTTGCTTGTATGGATATATCATCAAAGCTACATCGCTAATTTTTGTGGCAGTGACTTTTTATAACAAAAAATTGCCTTTGAAGGATAAATGGTATTTTTTTCCTTTTTCTTTGATGTTAACAATCTGAATTTTTACATTAAATTTATACAGACTTCAGTAAAATAATTTAGTGGAAAATATGTGTTAAGACAAAAATTGAGTTTAAAAAGTTAAGATAAATACTAACTTTTACGTTCTTGTAATGTAGGGCAATTGTGTAATCTTTTGGTAAAGGCACTTCCTTCTACGTGATTCAGGTACAATTTCTTCAAAAATATTCATTTGATACTAATTTTGTTATTCTTTCATAGTGATTTGTAAAAGACATTTGTATATTTTTCCTTTAAAACTTCCTGTTGATTTCTCGACTATTCTATGTATTTCGATTTTTAAATTTATATTGTGAACAGATTCACATTTGTAATTACATTTTTATTGTCTGCATAATAGCTTTAGAAATCGAATGTATATGTGATTATTTTGCTATGTTTTTGCTTTTCTGGGATTTCTTATACTTTTGTTAGCGTTTTCCAACTAATGATTTTGTTTTTTTTTTTTTTTTGCCCCCAAAATAGCTACATATCCATATCTTAACGACAACCTATAATACAGCACCAAAACTTCATAAAAATTTTACTTGCTAGCTAGCCAACGTACCTACGTCTTTTTTTTATATTTTGGCTTACTAATTTAAATTAAATTTTGACCTGTCACTTTAGGCTTTCAAAAAAATATGTTGAAATTCTTCAAATTTTTTGTGGGTTTGTTTTAGAAGGTGCTAATTTTGTAGATCAAAAGGGGGAAAAAAAACCCTTAAACTTTAGTTCTTGCGAGATATTAGACTTCGTTTATAAAGTTAGCCACTTTGTAGCTTGCGTCTTCCTTGGACTCTGCATCTTATTAAGTAGGCTTGGAAGTGTCTCATTTGACTTTTCGACAACTAATATCAACGCAAGCCTATTTAGACAATTTGATTCGAACCACTCTCTAGTGCTTTGTTGATGACTTCTATAGCTCTTACTATGATTGCATGTTTAAGGTTGTTGTATTTTGCTTTCTTGTTATGATGCTCAATATTTTTCTGTAACACCTTGAAACTTTTGTCAAGTGGGCAATATTCTCTCGTTCTTGGAGTTAAATTTATATTTTCTGGAAGCTCAGTAGATGGAACAATGTTAGTTTGATTTTCAATTTTTAGGGAAGTTTCATTTGAGCTGATTAATTTGATCACGGAAGTGCTATTTATGTTCAAGTTATAGTATTCTAATATCGTCCATCCACAAAACTAACAGCTTCTCCTACATGGAAAATGATATACATAAATTATCTGTCGTAACTTGGTTCTTGGAGTTGTCCAATGTTCAGTGGTGGTTATTATGGTTCTTTTTCTGTTTATTAAACATGCACAAAAAGAGTGAGGTAGTAGTTATTATTGAAAGTTGATTTAAGGCCCGTTAGGCATTGCTCTTGAGAAGTCAAAATGAACTTTTGAAACTCAAAAGCTGCTTTTGGACTTATTTGACTAATTTTATGAATCCTTCGTCGGGGAAGAATTTATAAACGATTTAATTTATAAATTGATAGAAATAAGTGATAGATAGGTAAATAATACATGTGAATCCTTTGAAATGTGTTGTTGAAAATGAAATTTTATCACTTGTAAATCATTTTAAGGCGAATGGAGGCTAACTAACCAATTTTTCATTTATGCAGATCGAACTTGTATAATTCGGGCTCATTTATTGGATTGTTTTGGTACCATCTACTATGCTCTTGTAGTGGGGATTAAAATTAAATTTTTAGTAAAATTTTTATAATAGTTGATTAAATGCATGGTTAAAAAGTTGTGGGTTCTATGAAATATATAGTTAAAATTAATTGTTTACTTTGATTTATATTAAAAATTAGATTTTAGTTCCTACCAAACAGGTTTTTATAAATCATATTGAGTGACTTTGAGTGAAATTTTCCCACAATTGTTTATAATATTTTAGACATCTGGATCATTTTTAGGCTGTATAAGGCAATCAGTGCTCCACTTTCTTAGCTAAATGTAGAGCTTGTTTCATCTTTCTTATTTGATCTTCAGTTCTCAAAATTCATATGGAAGCTAATAGATAGTGAACATGTTCATCTGTGCTGAAAAGTTACTTTATTTTTCATCAAGTATTTGTTAGTAAAAGATTCATATAATCAAGTTTAACTTATTTTTAAGTATAAATATACTTATAATGGCAAATCAATTCCAAATAAGAAACTTTTTCTATCTTCTAAAGTTTTAAAATTATATTAGTATATTATTAATTGTTTAGATCTTATGCAGGCATTGTTAAGGGTTGCAAAAGATCTTTATGCTATTGTGATTGCACCCAGAGAGAGTCAAGAGAGCCGGTTTGGCCTATACTCGTACTTCATGTTCTAATTAATTCTATCATTACATGTTTTATCTCAACTTTGATGCTTGAATTAAAGTGTTTCGATGCTATCTTCTTTATAAATGAGTGAGAAAGTGAAATTAGTTTCACTTCCTACATTAATACGCATCATCTTTATGATGCCCTGGGGCTCAAGCTCCGCAGTGTTGCTAAAACTTAGTTAAGCGTTTTAAGTATAAAACACAAAGGAAAATTATATAGGATTATCAAAATAAATTACTAATGCCATTAATAACAATAAACTAATTTTTTAAAAACAAAGTCACGTATTCAATAACTTTTGACATGAAAGAAAAAGTACTTCGATCATAATTACTTAAATCCATTAGCCAAAAAAATAAATGAATAAATAAATAAAAATCCTATCAATTAGTTTTAACACTTGATCTGATTTGGGATCATTCCAACACTAGCCAATAATAGAGCTTCCAGACTAACTTTGATGCTTGCAGCGTCATTCCTTCCTTCCACTTATCAATTATTTCCTTTAGAGTCACATCGACAATCAAATTTGAAATCTTTATATTCAATCCTCTTTTTGGACGGACAGTTTCCTTATTATTCTCAAACTTAATCAACCATTCAAGAATTGCTATCCTTTTTATATGTCATCCCACTTTCTATTGTTACTCATTCGTAATCTTTTACATCAACAAACAGCAGAATTTATCATATAAGAGCTCCATGTATTCAGCAGTCTGTGGCAAACTAATAAAGGGACCAGTATTCCAACTTTCATAGTCATTTTGCCTCCACTCTTTCTGCTTTCTAAATTACCCGATAATTGTAGATTCACTAAATAAATTTCAACATTAGTGGAATACAAATCTATATTCATTTGTTCATAATTAAACATGTCTTACTTGTTTTTATGTAAACAAGTTAATCTATTATAAAGCACATTTTTTCTATACATATCGTATAATAAATGTTTCAACATCTTTTCTCTCTTAAACCTTATGATTATTTTTTTCATTATTTTTAGTTCCAGTTGCTAGCTTCTTCTTCGAAGTATTAAATCATTTATTGTTCTGATGGATCCTTCGACAATGTCTATTGATTGAGAATCTGCTCTTCTTAAATATGATACCATTCTTCCAAGCAGAAGTGAGGCATACAATGCATTCATTCGCCAACAACGAAATCAAAGACAGTGGGATTGGAGAAATCGAGTCAAAGCTGGACGAATTGATTCTCGAAAAAGGGTAACTGACACAGTATTATCCGAAAATACTAATTTCAGTTCTGCCCATGTGAATGAAGCAGTAATATATCATGATTTCGAGGCTTCTACTTCAAACCAAGAAGCGACTGATGTTTCTAAATGTGTAAAACTTATGAACATACCAAATACTGCATATGTATTACTGACATGTACCTATTGTAAATATTGTGGTGCATGAAAATTTCATAGAGAAAATAAATGTTTTTGTTGCTCAGATGGAAAAGTTAAACTTTGTATGCTTGATTCACCAGCTGAACTATATACTTTGTTTACTTCTAAAGAATACAGGTGTATGGAATTTAAGAAAATTTCGAGAGGGTATAATAATCAATTTGCATTCACTTCTTTCGTTGTAAAGTATGACAAAGAACTCTTTAAAGCCATATAAAGGTATTTACACATTTAGGGTTCAAGGACAATTATATCATTATGTAAACCAACTTATGTCAGAGAATGATACGCTTTGTTATATGTAGTTATATTTTTACGATACGGATAATGAACTAGAAAATCGTATGAAAAATTCAGAAAATTTTGTTGAATCTACTTTGATTACTTTAATTAAAATCCTGAAAGTAAATCCTTACAGTAGATTCTTTAGGTCTTAAGTAATATGGATAATTTGCATAATCATTGTATACACATTAAGCCCCCGTTTGAGCCCCATTATTCTCCATTACATTAAATTAAATTTTTCTCTCTCCTACTTTTAACCACATAATCTTCAATAAAATAATATTACACGTAAATCAAAATCTTTTCTTTTCTTTTCAACCACTCATTTTTCAAAAAAACATTATTCAAAACATTATAATCTCCAAGAAATGGGGCTCAAACGGGGGCTAAATGTCACCCAGGACTTGATCAAAGGGTTTTCAGTACTCCTACATCCTTCCAAGTGGCTGCTATATGGGTTGCAGATGATGAAAATGCAGATGTTCGCATTCGTGACATTACTATATATGGTCATTTTGGCAATTCACATAGGGTTCATTATTACTACGGTTGTTATGATCCTTTGCAGTACCCTGTACTTTTCCCATTTGAAGAATCTGGTTGGCATGAAGGCATCGAAAGGATTCGAATAAAAAACTGTCAACCTCAGAATCTGCTTGGGTTTGTTAGTCTACCTAGCACAATTAATTCTACAATTGAAATGATTGAAAAAGAGGCTAAAGATTTGCAAATATATATTTTATTATCTTTTCTAATTTCTACAAGCTGCATCTTCTAAATTAATATTGAAATTCATTTTGCTTTTCACATGCAGTGCTAAATGGAACAAAAAAACGATCTCAAGTCTCTTGCTGAGAATATTATGCATACAAGTTACAAATTAGGCCCTCAAATAAGTCTATATTACTTCATGCTGGTAGACTTTTTTGGCAATATGTTGTAGATATGTATGTTAAAATTGAAACTTCGAGGTTAGACTATTTTCGCAATAATTAGAAATAAATTCGTGCTGAAATTTATTAAGGTATTGTAGATAGTGTTGAAAATGAGGAAACAAGGGGATATAAAATTGGACGGAAATTCATTTTACCTCAATCCTTTACATGTGATCCTCGAGATATGTTAAAGAAATATATGGATGCAATGGCCATTGTTCAGCGTTATGGAAAATCAAATATATTTTTTACTATAACATGTAATCCAAATTGGTCAGAAAGTAAGCAAGAACTAAAGCACAGTGATGAAGTTCAAAACGACCAGATTTGATAGCTTGTATATTTAAAGCAAAATTAGAAAAGTTAAAAAATGATTTATACAAGAAAAATATTTTCGGCCCTATTATTGTTCAGATATACATGATTGAATTTAAAAAAAGAGGGCTTCCTCATGCACATCTTCTTTTGATTTTTAGTTCTGGCCATAAAATTTGTTGTGCTCAAGATGTTGATAGGATAAAGTCCTGCGAAATTCCTGATAGAAATAAATATTCACATCTTTATTCTGTTGTTGTAAAACATAATATATATGACCCTTGTGGAAATCTTAATTCAAAAAATATATGCATGAAAAAAAATACTGGTTGTAAGAATAAATATCCTCGGGATTATTGTAATAGTACTATATTTGGTGATAACTCGTATCCATTGTATAGACGACGTGATACTGGTATTTGTATTAAAGTTAGAGGTCATATGTTAGACAATCGGTGGGTTGTACCATATAATCCTTATTTAGGTGCAAATTTTGACTTTCATATTAACGTTGAAGTGTGCTCTTCTATTAAAGTTGTTAAATATTTGTATAAATATGTATATAAAAAACATGATCGTATTAACTTTTCCATTGACAACAATGAAACAAGTAAAGAAATTGATGAAATTTCTAGTTACCAATCTGCGAGATGGATCTCTCCACCTGAAGCTATGTGGAGAATTTTTTTCCTTCAATTTGTCAGAAATTTTTTCAATTGTTTATTCTTTACAACTTCATATTGAAGATCATCAACATGTAACATATGATGATCAAGATGATTTGACTACTGTTATTAACAATGAAAATATAAGAAAAACAATGTTGACTGAATTTTTCCGACTCAATGAAGCAAATGAGTTTGCTAGAAGACTTTTGTATAGAAATATTCCGACACATTTTGTTTGGAATACAAGTGGGAAGATTTGGACTCCTAGAAAGAAACAAATTGTTATAGGATGGATTGTCACAGCGAAACCATCTGAAGGAGAACGTTATTTCCTTTGTGTACTTCTTAATCATATTAGATGACCAACATCATTTGATAATTTACGAACTTTCAATGGGGTTATTGTTGCTACATATCGAGAAGCAGCACTATTACATGGTTTGTTAAGCGGAGACAATCATTGTGAATAATGTCTATCCAAAACTATTGTTTACAAGATGCCTGTTTCTTTGAGGCGCCTCTTTGCTACGCTTCTTACTCTTTGTAACCCTAATCATCCGAAATTTGTTTAGGATGAATTAAAAGTTTATATGATTAAGGATTACTTACATCAAAATACATCTGTTGAGGTTGCTGAAGTACGCGCTTTGGAGGACATCAGCTCTATTTTAGAATCGCTAGGTAAAAACATAAATGATTATGAAATTGTGTCATTCAACGTAAATATAGATGAGAATAAAAGGTTGCAAAGAATGGTTGCAGAAGAGATAACTAATTTGGATATTGAAGGGGGATTTAGTTGTGCAATGAGCTAAAATAAAGAACAACAATTTGCATACGATACGATTATGGAAAAAGTAAAAATCCAATCAAGCTGTTCTTTCTTTATCGATGGTCCTGGTGGGACAGGTAAAACTTTTTTATACAAAACACTTTTAGCTGCTGTAAGGTCTCAAAATTTAATTGCTTTGACAATCGCATCTTTTGGATTGGCTGCATCTCTATTACTTGGAGGTCAGACAGTACATTTGAGGTTTAAAATTCCTTTAGAAACAATTTTTGAGGTTAGTTGTTATGTCCGAAAGCAATCGGCTTTGGGAAATTTGTTGAAAATGTCTAGGTTAATAATTTGGGATAAAGCACCCGTGATAAATAGTTGTGTTGTTGAAGCTGTAGAAAATATGCATAGGGATATTATCGATTGTAATATGCCTTTTGGTGGGAAAGTAATGGTTCTAAGAGGCGATTTTCGACAAGTTTTACCAGTGGTTCCAAGAGGAAAACAGGAGGACATAATGAAAGCTACCTTAGTATTTTCAGACCTATGGCTTTTGTATTTGCATCTACCATTGGTCCAGAATATGAGAGCAAAGTTGGATCCAGTGTCTTGCGATTACTTACTTAGAATTGGAAATGGAATGGAGCAAGAACATACTTGTAAGAACATTAAGCTTCCCGACAACATAATCTTGCCATTTGAGGAAGAAATCACATCTTTAAAAAAATTGATACATCATGTTTTCCCAAATATAGAAGCATGTGGTGATAATTTACAGACTATGGCAAATCATGTAATTCTTACACTTACAAATGGATGTATTGATTATATTAACAAAATTTTGCTTGATCAAATTTCTGGTGAAATTTGATCATATTATAATTTTGATGAAGCCATGGACAAATCAGAGCAAGGTTTACAGGAAGATTTTTTGAATCCTTTGACGTCAAATGGTATTCCACCGCATGAATTTAAACTTAAGATTAATTGTCCTGTAATGTTACTACGAAATATCAATCATTCAGAAGGATTATACAACGGAACACGCCTTACTTGTCGAAAATTTGAAAAAAATGTAATTGTCGCTGAAATCACAGCTGGCGAATATTTTGGAAAATATGTATTCTTGCTGAGGATTCCTTTTATACCCCTTCAGAGTGATCGAAGTTCAATTTCCTTTAAAAGAACTCAATTTTCAATTAGACCATGTTTTGCAATGCTTGATTTCGTTGGTTTGTATATTCCAGAACCCATCTTCTATCATGGTCAGCTTTATGTAGTATTATCAAAAGCAAAAAGAAGTACAAATATAAAAGTTCCGCTTAATCCAACAAACACAGAGAATTCACACAGCGGATGTACTAAAAACATTGTTTACAAGAAAATCCTTTCGTTCATACATCAGTAGAATCGCAAATTTTCGTCAGGTATATTTTTATGTTCGATAAATAATTACAAATAGTTATGATTAAAAAATCTCCCTCCCTTCTAATTTATTAAAGAGTATTATCACTCACATAAACTACAATTTCAATTTTTTTCAATTTGTATAGTCTGCTTCATGTTAAATACCTTGCATACATTTTTGAACAAAAAACTTTATTTTCAGTTCAATAATTAATACACTGTGTTGCTTAATTTTTCATTCTCGAGATATTGATTTATGCTCTAGGTTCCGGTACAAAAAATAAAAAATAAAAAAGTTCGACCTTCTCACATGGAGGTTGCTCTAGATGACTAGGAGTAATATCTCGTTGTGGGTTTTCTAAACTGAAGCTCAAAAAGATTTAGTATATGTTATTCATTTTCAACTACATATTTTTCTTATAAAATAATTTTACACGTAAATCGAAAATTTCTTTTTTAACCACACATTCTCCAACAAATCACAATTTCAAACACGTTTTCTTACAAAAAAATGGGGCTCAATGATTGTTGCTAATAGCCGGTTTGTCGCAAAGTTATTTGGATATATTCGCAAAATTAGTGTTGATATGAAATTAGTTCTTCAAAAGACAAATAATATTCTAGTTTAAATATTAGTAGCTTTAAAAGGAACGATGGTGGGAATTATGAAATGTGCGAATAATAATGATTCGTAATTTGAATGTGTGGTTAAAATTAAAATTTAAGTTTGATATAATAGTAGAAGTAACTTTTTAATTACTAAAAATGTTTACCATACAGAGGTTGATTACAAAGTCCATATATAAGTCCATCACATACAAACTTCTGCAGTCTGATCATCTCCACTTTGGTCCATATTACATCTCTTATTCCATTAACCTCTTTTTACATTGGAAAATGTAAAGATGATTTGGAAAACTTAACTACATAGATTTCTACAGATGAAGAGAAGTATCAGGCTCAATATTACCAGGCTCCCTTGTTTCAGTCGAATGCAATGAACGACTCTCGATGCCTTGGAAATCTTCGTGCTTGCTGAGTTGAAGATGGGGGGGATGTTGAACGGGCACTTGTGATGATGGGAACTGCCTTTCGTGAGGGAAGGAAAACTTAGGTAGCTGATGACAAGTTTCGATTGAAGTCATCATCCATTTGGGGTCGGACGAGAGTTTTACGGCTTCTCTTTCTTCTCTCTTCTCCCTTAACCTTTCCAACTGCCTAAATCTTTCTTGCAGAAGTGCAATTGATGAACCTGCAAAACTTGGATCATTATGTTGGCTTCCCATGGAAAAAGTGATATTGAGTAAATAAATATTATTGGATTATGGAAGTTTCAAGGGGATGTGTGTGAAAATATATAGTGAAGAGTGGACTAATGCGAACCAAAATCCAAGAGGAAAATGTTGCTAAGGAATCCGTTTTTCTTTTATGACGCCTCGCAAAACACTAAGCAGAAAAGGCCAAACGGAAATGGAGAGAGTAATTGGAGTAATGTGTAGAAAGTATTCAAGAGCATACAAGGTTAGGTGGTAAATTTCAACTACGAAATCTGAATTGGGATACTGAACTAAGCCCCTATTTGATAGTCGTTATTTGAGAAAAATAATGTTTTGAATAGCGATTTTTTTGAGAATATGTTGTTAAAAACTAAAGAAAAAAAATTTGGATTTATGTGCAGAATAAGTGATTGTGCTGTTATAAATGAGTATGTAGAAAAAAAAAAAGAGTTTTGAATTAAAGGCGACGAAACAAGGGCTAAATTGACCTCAATTGAGTTATCGAACTTCAATTTCATATCAAATTTGACCACTCTGCCACATTTCATAACCCATCGTCTCCAAACTTGTGGAAATTAATTACTTTGCAATATTATAACAGATCTTCCACATAAGAGTTGTCTGAAAGCGAATATGGTAAATTGAGAGTTATGACAAATTTTTAAATAAACGGTAAAATATGCAATTTTTTTAGTATATTTCAACACGTTTAGTAAAATAGTAAGTTGGCATGCCATTCACAATACGTAAACGATATGACTGCTAATAGAGTAATTTTCATCAATTTGAAAATTCGTAAATGATGGAGTGATAAAACTTAAATATAATCTCAGTAACCCAGTTGAAACTGATATGAAATTAGTGACCCAATTGAGACAAGTCAAGGTTTAGTGACTCAATTGAATTTTTCTCTAAAAGTCCAGTGACTGCAGATAAAATTTACCCCAAGGTGTCAAGGTTAGGCTACAATTGCCCTGGCTGGTTATTAGCAGTCGATTGGATATCATAGACAATACCTATTTTTGGTGTGTAATGAAGGGTTTCTCATTTCTTTAGCACTTGATTGAGCTCCGTTTTTTCAAAAATTCATTTTCAACCACATATTCTTCTATAAAATAATTATACACGTAAATTTAAATTTTTTCTACATTTTTTAACCACAGATTCTCCAAAAAATTACTATTTCAAAATACATTTTCCCAAAAAAATGGAACTCTTCGTTTCCTATTTTAGGCGATACTTTCACGTTTCTAATAATCACGTTCTATATGAATCCAAATCTGTCGAATCACTCAATCCATTTCGTTGTCCAGTAGCGACAACCATCTTTTTGATTGGTACTGTAGAGACCTCTGACACAAATAGACGCGTCACAAGTTCCATATAGATTACTTCTCAATACAATTTCTTTTAAATTCATTAAAATTTCATGGACCAATTCTTGAGTTCAGTTGAATGACGCATTATTGATAAGTTATTGTTGCTATTTTCGCTCGTAACATATTGTCAGCAACTAAAGAAACAATAACAAGTTACGCTTGCATCATCTATGGAATGTCATATTTCTATTTGCTAATACCATTCGATGTGGGGAATCTCAACTCCCATACCATCCAACCTTTCGACCATTCGGCCTCATTCACCAATTCAGAAATCATCAGGTCATAAACTCAGAATCCATTCTTCATTCAAGTTATCTCCAGCATTTTCTTGAACGTACATACATCATCTATATTGTTAACTTCTTAAAATATACAATACGGTCTCTTCAAAACAAAAGAACCAAACTACAGTATTACAAAGTAAGGGTTTGGACAAACGAGAGGTTCTCCAATGAAGAACCAACAACACTTGACAAAATTCAAGATGTGAAGGAAACCATATGTTCTTTCCTATTTACTGTTTTCCAAGAGAGAAATTAACACAAAAATAGGAGTGCATACGGGCAAATCTACATCAAGGCTCCAACTTCAATGAAACAACTCGCGACTGCCTGTTACATTTTGCAGCTTTGATGAATACTACTGAAAGACAACGTGGCGCCCACCATGGATGACGAACCTTTTGCTCCCCTTTCAAGCAAGCCACTAATAAATAACTCAAAATCAGAAAGAGGTAAAGAAACAATGGCAGTCTAAATCCATCACAAAATATTAAAATCTAAACTATGTACTTTAATGTACACTGTAGAGCAATAACATGGATAATGACAATGATGAGGATAATATTAATGATTCCCAAACACTGTTAAAGAAATTACATGAATACTACTTCTTCCATTCCAAATTGAATAACTTTGATTCCTTTCAGGCCTTCCATAAATAATGTCCCTTAACCAGAGAAGAACACCTTTCATAGGTTCAACTTTCAAACACCCCACTTGCTCCACAATCATCTGAACAGATCGTTTCATCTCCTTCTCACTCTCTTTCAATGCCTCCTTAACACAACTAAGAACACTGCCTCAATCCTCTCAGACCACCACCATCAACATACTCCATCTTCTGATCTCCACTTATCCCTCTACTTAATAAGACCTCCAACATTTCATGCCATTTTCTAGATAAGTTTTAATCAAATCTTCAATCCAACTCCAAAAACAATCATCATGGTCAATCTTCCTACTTATTTTCTTCACTTTATTCTCACAACAATTTGTTCAATTTTCATATTGATGACTCGATTAGGGTCTTTGAAGTGGACAACAGTGGCTAGGGATTTTTTTTTTTTTTTTTTTTTTTGGTTTAGAATGTGTTTCCTTTTGTCGGTCTAGTGGCAGTTAGAGAACCTGGCATTGAGAAATGTTACTGGTAACATCTTTCTTTTCATTACTTTTTTTTTCCTGAAGGAGGTTAGTTAAAAGTTGTTTTCAGGAGGCGATGGTGGTATTTTGGGAATCCAGTAGTGGTATAGTTGTGCCTTACTTTTCATGTATAATGATATCTTAGTTTTTATACAGATAACCGAATGATGATGAAATCATTGGGCTGGGATTGGTGATGGTGGTGAGTGGTTTTCCAAGTTGCAAATTGGGATTTTGGATTTGGAAGCAAAAAGTGCTATTAAGATGTTTGCTTTTAGGGTTCACTTTGAATGTGTTTCCTTTTGTCGGTCTAGTGGCAGTTAGAGAACCTGGCATTGAGAAATGTTACTGGTAACATCTTTCTTTTCATTACTTTTTTTTTCCTGAAGGAGGTTAGTTAAAAGTTGTTTTCAGGAGGCGATGGTGGTATTTTGGGAATCCAGTAGTGGTATAGTTGTGCCTTACTTTTCATGTATAATGATATCTTAGTTTTTATACAGATAACCGAATGATGATGAAATCATTGGGCTGGGATTGGTGATGGTGGTGAGTGGTTTTCCAAGTTGCAAATTGGGATTTTGGATTTGGAAGCAAAAAGTGCTATTAAGATGTTTGCTTTTACTGGATGGAGCAATGATGACATTTGTATCTTGTGATTAAAAACTCTACTGGTGCAGCACGGTGTTCCGTGGGTTGGGCAGCTGCGAGTCTTTGGGTCTGGCAGGAGCGGTGGTCCACAACCACAAGTGACAGAGATATCAATTGGAGTTGCAGACGGCAAGCATGGGTTTAGAGAGAGAAGATTAGACCAACTTGGCATAAGAGTAAAGTTTAAATTTACTGCAATCAATATATTTCATCTAAAATGTTATGCCACCTAAATTAGGACATCCAAATCCAAGTGGAAGAAATGATAAAGATGATAACTATGAGGACAATAGTCAATAATGTTAAGAACAGCAACTAAAAAATTAACCGCGTTCTCACATGAAAAATGAACATCAAGGTTAGCTTCCACCAGTGTGTGAAGTATAGTTTGAAAACTGAGAGACTAATCTGGCACTCCAAGCAAATTATTCCCCCAGAAAGCAATGAGACATGACAATAGAAAACTTTTTTTTTCTACCACGATATAGTTACACTAACATCAGATATGGACCATATTAGCAGTTGTACAGCATTAAGTAATTTCCAAATTTAGAGCTGAAAGATCAAAGCTCCAGCAGATACTTCCCCAGAAAGCAATGCCACAAACACAAGCAACTTTCTATGAAAATAAACATTTTGGCAGCACATATGGTAGTAGCAGTAAAGCATAAGCATGTTACAAAATCCATATCATGAATGCCGTAGACAAACTCTACAATTCTGACGGGAGATTGTGGATATAAGAACAGGAATCTATAAAAATAATCACATATAAAAATGTTGAAGTCATTGCTTGAATGAAAGTTACGTATGTAGTATGGTTGTTTTATCTTTTAAATTTTTCTTAAAATAAAAAAGGATGTGAAACAAGTAAACTGCTTTACAGTTGTTTTATCATTCAAGCACTCTGCATGCCAATATGTAAATATAGAAAGTAAAAAGAAATAGAAAACTATACCGTTCATCTTCATTTGTATGATTTATGACAAATTATTCATAATTAAGGTAAAGTCTTAGAAATCCATCACTCAAAATCCAATCATAAGACAAATGAGAGATTATGAGTGGTGAATGCTAACACAGGAAATTGAAGATCTTTACATGGGAACAAAAATATGCAAATATTTGAATTTTCAGGTGACAACTAAGTAGTAGATGGTCGAACAAACTTGCACAAAAGAAACAAAACAATTTTTTACTGTAGGACAATAAAGTGATACCTTTTATTCGTCTGAGCTCCTTGCACAAAATTATAAAATCTCCCCATTTCATGTGACACTTCCTAATGAACCTAAGTATCTGTTCGGTTGTAAACATGGACATGCTTTCCAAATACTCTCCATTGACCCCATTTTCTTTGAAAATTTGGCAATAGCTCCCAAGATTTATTTCTTCCAGCCACAAGCCAACATCCTACAGAAGTACATGAAATCAAATGTTGTTAACTGGAAAAGTAATTCTTTTTCATTTTTTGGGCAAAGGATTGGATGACCCTACTAACCAACTAAAATCTATGATGCTCGGACTCGGGTACGGGGATCCAGTATGGATACATATCCAGGTGTCGGATATTTTATTTTCTAAAATATAGGATACAGGGATATGGTTAAAAAGGGTCCAATTTTCGGACACGAGTACGTGGATATGTCTTTCAAGGTTCAATTTTTTTATTAATTCAAGAAGTCATTTTAAATAAATCAAAATCAATTATTCACAAAGAAGGATATGAATATTGAATGAGGAGTTGAGACAAATAAATTAGAATTTTGGGGTTTAATTTTCAATTATAGACATTATTAAATGTTATATAAAATAGCAAATAAGGGACTTGATTATAATTTGGATTTAGTGGATAACTAATTAGAAACGAGAAAGGAGAAAAGGAAAGAAAAAAAGAAAGAAAGAAGAAAAGCAAAAACAACGAAGTGTCCGATTAAAATTTGGAGGATCCGAATCATATCTCATACCCATACCCATACCCATGTCGTGTCATGTTCGACACGGGTACTCTACCTATTTCGAAGAGTCCGAGCATCAGAGACTAAAACTCATCTACAGCACCTCAATTATCTTAAAATCAAAAGAAGACAGAAACAAATCTCCTTAATCACATTACAGACCTTTCTTCTTCCCATATTTGCAAAATTACCAAATAACACGAGCAATTGAAAACAAAAACAGAAAAGATGAACAGCAATTGATAATATAGAATATGTACATGAACCATTTATTCTTAAGGCATACATTATTAACCTATCTGAGGTCCAATTAGAATGCTTTCAATCATTTGTCATTGATGAAAGCCATAAGAGAGAGAAAATCTAATATTAGTACTCCTTTTACGGGGGATTCTCACTTCTTTTCTTTCTTCCCCTTTTTAGCGTATCTCTATGTATGTCTATGGATTGTTATAGGGGGTGGGGAGAGGTCATCTCTTGCAAATAGTTTCCTAACACTTCCCCAATTTCACTTTCCTCCTCTCCACTTTCCTCGTATCTTCCCAGCCAAATCCACCAAGAATAACACCATTTGTAAGAGTTAACTAATTTGGTTAAAAATGAGCCCTCAACAGCAGACAAGTGAGACAACCACAATGATTAATCTCAAAAAACAAAGAGAAAGCACACTAAAACTGCACTATGACTGCAGAGATATTAGAGCGAAGTTACTTCTGTAACCAGTTTGCCCTAACAAACAGTAGCCATCACATAAGTCCTGTGACTAATCCAACTGAGAATAATACTACTGCTAGCACACAAACATCTTGCAAAATTGCAAAAGTTCATTCCATGACCAGAGGAGACTCGAAAAAAAGCCACCACCATTTCACCCAGCAACATGCCTAAGTATATGAAATCATAGCATTGATGAACCTAGTGGCTAGGACAGTTTCCTTAAATATTTACACATTGATATCAGGAACAGGTATGAAGGAGCTTAAGTGATTGTTGAACTAGCCAGAACAATGGTTCGCTCAAGAAAGAGACGAGGAAGACTCCAAGTAGTACTACGATTAAGAAGCTCATCTTCAAACAGGTTTCATCAAACCAAGTAAATTACACATTACTGAGTAAACAATTCTAGACTCCCACATTTCTAGATGCACTATGGTGCTAACCGGTCAATGCAACACATCAGTCTCTGAGTCCGTGATGCAGCTTAAGTACATTAGTAGAAGCTAAAAGATAGTTACAAACATTGCACACACAACATACACAACAAAGATAACCATATCAAGATAATGACACAAGTAAATACAGATGGAATCTAATATCTTTACTATAAATGATGGACAATACACAATTTGGAGAAATAATTCATAGTAATTCTGGGATAGAGAATCCAAAGTAGTGAGGGGCTGGGGAGTTCAATCTAAAGATAGTTAAGCTTTCCCTCGATGTTCCACAATATTCACTAATATCTTCTACAGCTTTTCCTTTTTGTTATACGCTACTTGATGACAAAAAATAATAATAATAATAATAATGTTACCAAAATATATCTGAAATTCTAGAGAAAAGAAACTCTGGCAGTAAGAAATATACCAAAAGATGCCCAAGCGAGTACAAAATTACTGTAAAAATCATGGGAAAGGTAGCAGTCATCATCAGAAATAGACTAATAAACAAGGAAAATATTTAAAATAGCTAAAAACTAAAATGAACCTGTTCTATAGATTCCAGTTCAAAGCCAATTCCACATCCAACTGTAATTGGAGTGAATAAGCCAAAACTAATTAATTTTCTTATGAAAAATACACGCCCCAAATTGACCAATTTTACGAAAAAACCCGATAAAACAGAGCAATATAAACAAGATCCAAGAAATACGAGATTAAAAAATAAAAATAAAAAGATGCAGAAATTGAAGCACAGAAAGAAAAGAAAAAAAATACCACCTCAACAGTCCAAATGAAGAAATCAAGAGGCTCTGGTGGCCTTTCTTTATCTGTGGTCATCTCAGAGAAACAGGATTGAAGTTTGAAGACCTGGCCGAAGGATAAAAATTAACAATCAGAAAAGCGAGTCTGCATCAGATCAAATAATGAAGTTTAAATGCAATACTACACATGTATATTATAATTGGTGAAAATAATTGAATTATGAAAGTACCAAATGCAATGGGGGTCCCCATTTTGTACATAAAGTGAGTCTCTGAGTGGGTGGGCATGTGCGAGTGAAGCGCGCGTGTCTATCAATTCATTGGCGTCGGCCGGACTTCACAGAGGAACATTAATAAGCATGCCACCAATTGGCAATGTTTGGCTAAAGGCTCACCTAGAATTTTTAATTTCCAGAAGAATTATTATTCATTTCAGACTCCAGTTGTTGTCAAAATTTAACGTTGCCACATGATTGTGTGACATGTCACAGTGTGACTAATGTTGTCCGTAAATTGAAGTTCAATGATTTAATCGAGACAATCACTCAATTGACGGCAAAAAAAATGTAGTTTTTATATTATGCACTGCTATGACTTATTTGACTTGATGGTTAACCTAGTAAACCAAAATCCATTGGCTTATGGGATATGTGAGCATTGACGAGAGGAATTTTTGTTGCTCAAATAATAGGTTTGAGATTTCAAATCCAGTTAAAACATATTTATAAGACAATATCCAGAAGAAGTTGCTAATAATTTTGTCACTTTAGTTGAGCATTATCATCGTGCTTTGGGGGTTTGTGACCAAGTACAATGCCTTTGTTACCTTTGTCCATAATAGAATTTATTACGCCTATTCCAATGAGGCTCTAAGTATAGTCAAATGGCAGCTGCACAGCAAGAGAATTTAGGCTCGCACTCCACATCATTCTACACGTGTAGCAATTTGGCAGAGCCCCCATGGTCAAGCCTCCACAGCTGAGCCACCATGGTCGAGCCCCCATGTTCGACCCCTATTGGCCGAACCCCAATGGGGAGCTGAGCCCCCATGAATGAGGCGAGGAAAGTAGAAGCATCTTAGGGAAGATCTTCATACGACTTTGTAACAAGTATGTGATGTGACAACTCACTGCACAGGCAGCTCAATTCAATCAGCAAGTCAAGTCTAGTCTTACATGTCAGGCCTATGACTGCAAATGGTCATAACATTAAATGTACTTGAGCCTAAGTCTGATTGATTGGTGCCTATGACAAGAGGCCCTAGCCGCCAAGATGAGGCCATGTGTTTCATCATTCAATGGCTCTTACTCACCCTCTTCTACTATAAAAACTCACACTTGATGTCATTTCAAAAGTAATGCAAGTTTAGATTTTGATACTATAACTTCGCTCTTTGCATTCTTTATTTACTCACAATGCCGACCCCCTTTTTTACATTGAAAGCTCATGTTAAAAGCTTTCTAACACTCATATATTTTTTTCCAAAACTGATTTAACCGTCGAAGTGCGCGCAGTCCGCTCCACCCCCACCGGAGAATGCCACTTATGGTTAACGGTTTGTCCTAGTACGCAGGAATATGGTTTGCTTGGACTGAGAGATCTTGGGATCAGTTGTCCACATTGGAGGTACATTTTTTTAGGTCAACAGAATTGTTTATGAGAAAAATACACTCAAACATATTTTTTCATTTTTCATTTTTCATTTCAATAAAAAGATTATAAAGTTATTCCTTCAAATATCAAGTTTACCTACTCGATTTTGTACCACGACCATTCATAACTCTAATTCATTTTCCACCACAGAGAAAGGTCACAGCTGATTCATGCCACATCTTCCTCATTGGCAATTTCCTCAGTTCTCCGACATCGAAGGCATTTGCAACGCTCAGCGTGGCATCGTCGGGTGTCGCACTATTGTTGGTGATGATGGTCGTTGGAATGGTGGTGATAGTTGTTGGTGCAATCTATGTATTTGTGTGGTGCAATTTAGGTGATGGTTGTTGGTACAGGTAATGGTGGTGATGAGATAATATTTTGGATGATGTCGACAGGGGGAAGAGTGTGGGCAGGGTAAGGCAGAGAGATGAAGGCTAATTTGTGATTAGTAAATTAGGTTATTGTGATCAATTAGTTTGATGGTATGACTTATAAATAAGTTATTACCAATTAATTAAATAACTTGTGACTAATAGCTAAGTTGTGACCAATAAAAATGTATGATTTGTGATTAAATTTGTAATTGTAACCCATATTTTGTGTCTTTGTAATTGTAACGTTCTATGATTTGTGGCTAATACATAATTATGATCATAAATTGTATATTATTGCAACATTAAACTATTTAATTTCCTATTTAATTAATGACACCTATATGAAGTTTGTTACTGGCCACCAGTATTTTTAGGAAATTTAGCCTCATTGTCTAGCCAAAATTCTCCCAAAATAAGTTCAATATCCTCCAATACAAGATGCCAAATACCAACCAAAACAAAGTTCAAAACCCAAATAAGAAACCTAAATGCCAAAAGTAGCAATCCAATCAACTATTGTGACTATGTCCGTTCAAACATTTGAAATTACCACGTTCGACCCAATTAACACCTAAAAAGGGGTGAATAGGTATTTTATACAAAATTTAAATTTACTAATTAATAAAAGCAACAAGTCGTAATTATTAATTAATCCAGATGAATTCACACGCACAACTATCCTATATTGAATTATTGAAGTTGATAAATTACTAAAAAGTAAATAACAAAAAAAAAAAAAAATTGATGACAAAGAAAACCCCTCACATAATAAAAAAACTCAGAGTCCAAGCCAATAAGAATCCACTATAAATGAATCAACTTACAGTACGGTCCAAACTTGACTAACTCTAGTACTTTCTAACTTCCTAACTGTAATCACGAAGGCCTTCTTGGATTGCGTGCTACTGCATCAACTTCTAACCTTCTAGTTTCATGTATCTCCTATGGATCACCAAGAACGAGTCATTCTCCTTCAATCGAAACTTCGACCACCTTCCCGATCTTTAGAATATGTGGAAGTATAGGTTTTGGTGTTTTGCTTATGTGGATTTGATGTTTTCCATGATTTGTTTGAATCAACAGAGGGTTGAATTGTATGTATGATGTGTAGGATGTGATCTCTCTTTTAACACAATGGTCAACTCCTGATGTTCACAAAGTGGGATGTGGCTGCGAGGTGTATATAGTATAGGGATTTTGGGTAGTATAAGATAAATAAAACTCTCGAAAATCGCAAACTAGGGTTTCTCGGAAAACGCCATCACTCAAGCAAGAGTCTAGCAATGGGCAAGCGACAAAGTGCTCCGCTCTAGCGATAGGCTGGCGACAGATTAGCTACAGTGCTCCTGTTTTGGAAGCTCGAGCAATAGCTTAGCGATAGGCTAGCATAAATTTCAACAGCTTTTTTTCTTTGTCCCATAAACGACCCAAAGACTCATAGTTCATCTATAAAACTTAAAGATTACCAACGATTCTAAAACTTAACACCCTTCATTTTTAATACCCTTTTGGAAGATTTACTAAAATTAAAGGTATAATTAAAAAAAAATAGAATTTCATTTATTTGATTGCAAAGTATATTGTATTGTTGTTTGAAATAGAAACACGAATTTAGAACTCAAAAAGGAAGGAAAAAGTGCGACAATGGTCTCTAACATTTTCATTTTTTGCAGACTTTACCCTAATTTTCATTTTGTGTCAGTGGATGTTCTTAACATTTTATAAATATGCATTTGAGATCCATCTGGACGGAAACCGTCCAAAACACCGTCAATTGATCGAAAAATTTAAGAAATCAACATCCAATAAAATCGTCGAGGTAGCAGATAGTTCAAGGATTTTTCCTGGTCAACTAGCGGTATTTTGGATGATTTCTATTCAGATGGACCTTAGGTGCATATTTACAAAAGGTTAGGGACTTTCCCTGGTACAAAATGAAGGTTAGGGTAAAATCTGTAAAAAAAAATGAAAATGTTAGAGACCGTTATTATAATTTTCCCAAAAAGGAAAGATGACTCCTACATGACCCCTGTTTCAAATTAAAAGAGACGCTAAGCCTAATTTAATTTTACGCTTACCTTTTTTCATTTCATTTTTTTCCCATAGAATTAATTGTACGCATCAGATTTTGCCAATCAGGTTTAATTCTACCTCAAATTGAACTCTTGGTTGATTCCTTTTCAAACATAGACCAAAGGATTTACAATCCACAAATTTTCACTTTTCGGAGAACAATTCAATAGTAAATAATAAAAAATTAATCAAGAAATAAATAGGAGCCACTGCGCTTATAAGTTATAGCTTTCATATTTGAGCCCATTGGGACATAACTCAATGGTGCAAAGGACAGGAGTAAGGTAGTCTCGGCCTTGCTGACAGCCGCAGTGTGATGGTTCGATTCCTGAAATATAGAATTAGACTCTTTGTGGACATCATTATACAGGCAATCTCTTGTTCCTTTGGCCTGCTGGGGCACCTGAGAACAAGCAACATGTGCAAGCTGCTGTAGGGAGCAACTGTCTTCGAGTGGCTTGCGTCCCTACAAACTTCGGAGCCTTAGGGACCGGCACATGCCGGCTGGGGCAAGTTTACCGTCCGACGATAGTGCTACTGTGACGATACTCCACCCGATGACCCTCCAGCAGCACCTGGACGGAAGGCATGCGTGGGCACAAAATCACGTTGTGTGTCGAAAGATGGCCCCAAATTTTCTTGCAATTACCTATTTCGGTCAAGAAACGGAGTTAAGACCGGACGAGAGTAGGAGGAAAATTTTCGACGAAGGGCATGCATGGGGACGAGAAATCGCGTGACATGTCGATCGATTGGCCTAGGCATAAGACGCACGTTGCAATGTAGTGCTCGCAACTTCCCAATATCCGATCGGTTGGTGCGAAATTGTCCCGAATCAAGACCGTCGTGAGACACAACGATGCAGGACGGAGGGCATGCGTGGGAACGAAACCTCGTGATGTGTCGATTGATTGGCCTAGGCACAAGACGCACGCTGCAATGTAGTTCCTGCAACTTCCCAATGTCCGATCGGGCGGTGCGAAAATTGTCTGGAAATGAGACCGTCGAAAGGCATGACGATACAGGACGGCACATCGCGCGTTTTACCTCCCTTACGATGCTCCAGGAACGGGACGGTGAGGGCCCTCAAGGTTGGGGTTCAACCTTTTTTTTAATAGCTTTCACATTTGAAGTTGAGAAGTGCCC